TTTGATTATCTTATTTTTGTCCCTCGTTTAATTATTTACAGCTTACTTTAAATGGGACTTTAACGCCATAATAATGTTTTTGTTGCCTGAAAGATAAATAATCCTTTTCTCCATATGGCGAGGACAGGCTCTGTCAAGCGATCTTGAGCGAAAGTGAACAAATCAAGTGTGATAAATTTATGTGAGGAGGGTAAACAAAAAACATTTCCATGACAAAACAAGGCTTCGACCTGCAACAGACTCTGCATTTTGTCCCAGGCAGGCGCTTACAGGGGACAAAAGACAAGCGTTTTGAAAAAAAAATTAATAAATAAATAACTGCTATTTTTCTTTTTTTTTTTATTAAAGTTGTTGAAAATAAAACATTTGCACCACTATTATTTTCTTTGTATTTTAATGAACCATTTGAGGTTTTAAGAAGATATTTTAAAGTCATCTGTGTGTGTGTGTGTGTTTGCAGAGTTGTTTACCTGAGTAAACAAAATCAAGTGCAAACAGAATCACATTTAAGCGCCTATTTAAGATGTTTACACATTTTTTAGAAGCCTTAAATCATTTCTAGTTTGAAGCAGGCCTCTCAAATAAAAATGATAATAAAAAGGCCTCTGGCAGCACATCATGTAAATACTGCAAATTGTAAATTGTCTAAGGCTGTTCTAATATTTGTGCTTGTTCCATAAATCCTAAATGTCATCTGTCAGCTCACAGCGACCATGATGAGACATGTCGGGAGGTTCAATTTCAACTTTAAACCTGAGAATGTTCAACTTTTCCTGTCATCTTTGGGAAACTTTTACCCTCAAAAAAGCATCATAACTGAGTTGTTATAAATTCTCACTCCACTATTAATAATGAACCCAGTTTTCTAAACGATTGAAAACGGTTTATATTTAAGATTAGACTTTTAAAAGTGAAAGAAGAGCGGCTGTTGGAGCAGGTAGAGGAAGATGAGGGGAGCTCCAGCTGATCGGATCCACTCACCGTGCTCAGAGTTCACCCCGGCTAGAGCGGGATCCTCGTCCGACTTGAGGTGCTGCGGCTTGGCTTGCTTGCGTCGGGACATGCTGCTGCTGGCGTCAGGGCTGGAGATGCTGCTGCTGGGTTCACGCTCCGAGATGCGTCTGCGTTTTGCAGCTGCATCAGCGAAGAGCGAGCGGATCAACGCGCACAAAAAGTTCGCAGAAAGTGTCTGGGATGGCAGGAGGTGGGAAATTAGCCGGTGTTGCTGCTTCTGCCGCCGCCGCTGCTGTTGCCGCTGCTGCTGTGCGTGGGATTGCGCATGTCGGGATAATAATTATGATAGTGAATAATGCCTCGCGATTAATGGCACCGTGTGAAGGTGGGGAGGATTGGCTGGAGTCCAGCGGACGCGCATTGGATATGGTAATGAGGGACGGACTAAGCAATTAGCCGCTTCCCTCTCAGACTTTATCCATCTCTCTCTTTTTTTGTCTTTCTTTACCTCCCCCAACAACACAACTCACAAAACCTCCTGTTTTGCCCAGTTCACAGTGAGGTCTCCAACTGGGAACGCCGGGCTCCTCTCCCTTCACTTTTTCACAAAGCGCACAGTCTTCTGATCTGCATCACTTCATGGTGCCACTTTTGCGCATAACTTCTGAAAAGTGTCCGTCTCTCTCGCACTTTGTCTCTCAGTAACTTCTTTTTTTCCCCCCTCTTCGGAGACTGAAAACTGTTCCTGTCGGAAATGAAGCGACAATCAGTCTCTGAGATGTTTCAGTTTTTTTTTTCTTCTCTTATCTCTGCGAGTAAAGTGGATGTTTGGTTTGCAGGGGGGAGTTCTCTGGCGCAAACTCCGCTTTGCCAAAACTTTGACGCGCGGTTTTCCGTGACCTGCAGCGATCAGTCAGTGGGATTTAACACTCAGCATGTGTTCGGATAAAGAAGTGGCTTCAGTCTTCTGATCGCGGTGAAGTTTGTCTTGTTTTACTCCTGCATGTCTCCGGGTTTCCCTGGTTGCGCTCTCCTCCCCTCCTTGGTCATCGAAAAATAAAAAAATAAAAAATAATAATAACGGTAAAAAAAATAATAATAATAATAAAAAAGTTTTTGCAAACCAAACACCAAAACCCGGTTGAACCAAACAAACTTCACTCAAGCTCTTTCTTTCGTGTCGGCATCGAACTTTGAATTCGCTCTGTAGCAGCAGCGCGCGGAGCGTCGGGCTCTCTGGTTGTTGGACATGGCTCTGCGTGTGTGTGTGTGAGTTGAGTGTGTGCGGAGGGGGACTGCGCTGTGTGTGTGTGTGGTGCGTTTAGTCAACCCCCAAGCAAAAGGTTCAGCCCATTGCTTTCAGCCACCACTAGGATGTACCACCACGTTACTGTTGAGTGGATCGTCCTCAGCCTCTCCGTCACTTCGATCTCCCACCAGAACAGGACGGACAACGTCACAATAATCACAATAAGTCCCGCTTGTTTGGAATTATTACAATTTTTTTATAGAAATAATCATTATAATAATAAAAAACTTGGCAAAACAAGAAGTAAAAAAAGGGAACTTAGAGAATAAAATGATGGCCTTCTTCATTCAGAACAACTTTATTATTTTAAAGCTGATTTTTAATGATTTTCATCATCTGCAGCTCACTGGATTACAGAAGTTACGCATTATTTTTTTCTGTTTTTATTTACCGCCAGAATCGTGACCAATAATCTGCGGGTGAGGGATAAAACACACGCAACAGTGTTTAAGGTCATGACAATTATATCTATTATCCAGCCGCATTTTTCTTCATGATTGTTAAGAATCTAAATATTGAACTAGATTTTCTTTTTACATTTTGCGCACAAAGCTTCAGAATTCCTCATTTTCTTGTTACTGCTGAGATATTGTTTTTTTTTTTTTTCAGCTGACTTGAGCTCAGTTAAAGCCCCTCTTCTCCTGTCTTTTTGTCTCCCCCCATGCTTGCCTCATATGACGTACAGAAATCTGTTGACAACAAGGCTGGCCTTATGTGAGCAAACTTTTTTCTCTTTTCTTCTCCCTCCATCATCCCCCTTTGAATCGTGGCCAAAACAGAAAAGGGAAGAAACAGAAAAAAAAACCTTGTTATTATCTGGTATTAATAGATGCAGCCCCCAGGAAGACAAAAATCAGCTATTGATAATTGCAAGGAGTCCACAGCAATACTGTATCGATCGGCGTGTCCTCCACTCCCCCTGGTACCGGGAGATAAGGAGACACACTCTTTAGAGCAATATAATTTCTTTTGACCTATCTGCTTGCTACAGACTTATGATGAATAGCCACAGTGGCTGAAGTCCTTTATCACCAAAGTTACCCCCTTGATATAATATTGATTCTTTATAACTAGCTCACCGCACAAAAATCAAACTGTCCACTTGGCCATCATCATCATCAATATCATCACAAAGGCGGAGGAATGAAGATCCCTTTGAGAGAGAAAGAGAGACCTCCCAATCTCCTCTGTAGGCCTAATCTTTATTTTGCTGATGATGAAAGGAGAGGGGAAAACGAGGGAAGGTGCCATTTAAAACCAGGTGCCATTTAATCCGGTATAGACATAAGGGGGGAGAGGTGGTGGT